CTTGATGAATTTGCAGATTATTTTTCAGAATCTCCTTCACTTTACCTTCTGCCTCCGACCAGCTTTCTCCAGTTGACTCCATGATTCCCTCAAAGATCAGGTTTTTCCGCTTGGACTGTGCTTCCAGATGCTCCATTCTATCCGTTATAGTCATTAGACTCTCACACGTTCTGTACACTTCCTCCTTCGCTTCTTTGGCTTGTATTTTCTGTTCACCCATGGCAGTCTTTATCACATCCACCTCTCGCTGGGTAAACTGCAAACTCGTTTTTATCTCCTGTATTTCTCTGGTCATTTCGTCGAATCTCCTGTTGTTTGTCTCCATAATTAGTTGCACAAAGCCTTTGAAGCACTCCTGCTGTTGGTTCAGCATCGCAATGAACATCTGTTTCTCATGATCCACAATATCTTTAACTTGCGCCTCTATGACACATTTCTTCTGCCTCATATCCTCCGTCGCTTCTGATTTATTAGCTCTTTTCCCTCTTTGAGGCATTTTAGCAGTTGTAACGTATGCTCAAAGACTTGAATTATAGAACAGACAAGAGGAGCAGTAAAAACGTCTGCTCTCGCTTGCAAACCCGGAAAAATGCCGGGTTTGATGAAGTTGCATCATGATAATGCATGTGAACTGCGCAGTTGTTTGACAAGTGTTGAAAAGGCATCTGGATGCATGGCCAATGCTTACAATGCCTTTCCTCCGTCTTTCTCTCCTCTGTTCTCTTGATCCTGTGGGCTCTGCACCTCAGCTGTGTTGCATTCCAGTAATTAGCGACTGGTTTGCCGATGCACACAGCTGGGGTGCATCCCGACGATTACTTTCTCCTCCTTATTTATACCACTGACAGACACTCCAGTGTTGCTGGAACATTAACCAGGTACCGCGTAATGTAGGTGGATAGAATGCTATGATGACAGTTTCTGTGCGTTTTGGCTTGATTCTATGACACATTTCTTCTGCCTCATATCCTCCGTCGCTTCTGATTTATTAGCTCTTTTCCCTCTTTGAGGCATTTTAGCAGTTGTAACGTATGCTCAAAGACTTGAATTATAGAACAGACAAGAGGAGCAGTAAAAACGTCTGCTCTCGCTTGCAAACCCGGAAACATCCATCTCTACTCTACCTGGACTTTTATATACTTGGACTTTGTTATGTTCTTTTGATACTCTGTGTTCTTTTGTAACCAGCAACCAACATGATTTTTTCCCCCTAGCACCTGGGTCGGCAAACTTGAGCCCAACCTCAGTCCTCCCTCACCCTCCTGGTGAGGGGGGCTACCATAACAGTGACAGTCACTTGCCATTATATAAGTAGCTGGAAAATACAGAATGCTGTTCTTCAAAGCAATGCCGGAGCAGAAAACTGCTGAAAACCCAGCAAATGTGCTTTCTGCTGCCACGGAACACTGGGGACATGCAGGTAAAGTCACAGCATGCGCACATGACAATGTTAGCAATATCATGTCCTTGGTGCAGGGGTGGGAGGCATCTTTGAGTAATTGCCACATAGTTCCCAGGAATATCAAATTGCATTTTAGCTTGAAATGCCCATCCCTATATGACACAACATTCTCTGAATTGGGATTGTATTGATCCCCACTAATTCTGATTAAGCAACAAATGAATTACCAATTAAGTGACTGATGAATAAAATAATTCTTCAGCTTGTCCCATCTGAACTGTGGGACTAAATCACTTGTCAGAGGTAATCTTTTTGTTTTTACAACACGAAACAGCAGGTTAATAGGACACTGAAGACAAAACAATAAATGTAGGACATTTACAAAAGAAAACGGGACATGGGGAGATTTTACATGTAGTGTAAGAGTGCGAGGGTGTGTTGTGTAGGTGTAGTGTATTCAACTCTAGTAGTAAACATCCCTAATTCTTATTTATGGGGAGAAACACCCACTTTTATTTTCAAATTTTACTTACATCTATCAAAACTATTGATACATGTAACTACTTCCTTGAAACTAAACTATGCTAGGGAGAAACTTTAGCTTCTCCCCAGCTTAAATAAAAATTCTGAAAAAAAGAGAATAAATTCATTCGGTTTTGAGCCTTACATCTAACTAAGCTAATAGGCTGAACCTCCTTAAAATTAAACTATGTGGGGGAAACAGCTGCCTTTCCCCTTGCTTAGATTAAAATATTCATCCAGTTTATATGACTAATATTTATTTTTATTCTAAATTTAATTTAGCTTTTAGCCTTACATCTATAAAATATTTAGAGAGCAACAAATTAGGTTTGCGTGCTGCTGCTCTGTCCTATTGCTAGGGAAAGCCTAATAAAATCCTGTTGTTGTACAGTCCTTGCTCTGGGGGTGTTTGTCAGTCCTATTCCCACTGGAAACCCCAATAAAATCCTTTAATGTTATAAAAGCATAAGTAGTAGCATAGTCATAACTTTCTGTCTCACCCATCATAAATTGCTTCGAAGATGAAAAGTAAAATATTAATGCGAAATCCTTTTAAGAATGTAATTACGCACCATAATAGTTGACAGCCTTTGGTTTAGATGGAAGCAAAGTGGGTGGGCTTAGGGGGTTGGGGGTGCCATAGATCATTTCACACCTCAGTTTGACAGGTGTGGCATTACATATCTCTCTTTAGTGACTTTGGCTCTTGACACCATAATAGACATACTTTAAAAGTAAGTCATTGCTATAATTAAAACTTAGAAAAAATCAACTGGACTTAGATTTCTAGATCAAAGACATTTTCACCTCTCATCCAAATGTTCATTTTAACCCTCATGTCCTGTTTTGAAGCTAGTAATAAGATATAAATCACATAAGGATCATGATGTAAAAGAAAACATTTGTCCAAATTTTCTTACCTTGCTCATTCTCTTTAAAGACCTGCAAATCTTCCACCTCTACATTTCTCCACCACCTGTTCATTTTCAGAACCTAACATAGCTCAAGCAACATTACAAACAATAGAACCCCAACAGATAGCCAATATTTAACATGTATAAATTGCAGATTGTGCATATGCTATAAAACCTACCTTGTTGCCCTGTTTCCCTGTTGTGTGCAGTGAGGAAAAACCTTCTAGATCTATGTGCACACACACCAGTCACTAACTACTTCATCGTCTGAATGGAGGCCAGGAGAAAGAACAAGACAAGGACATATGGAGGCTGGATCCAATACTCAACTCCTCCTCAAGTAACCGTCAGTAAATACCAAGTATTCTAACAATAGCAATGACTTCTGAAAACAGTTTGCTTGAATTTCAAGGTTAAGACAGTCAAGGTCCCTCACACCTTTACTTGTCATTGTAGACATCAGAGGTACGAGGACTATGGACAGCTGGGAATGGGGCCTTTCACAAAGTTCTGACTTGTCCACTAAGGCCTGGAATGGATTACAGGTAAGTAAACTATGCAGAAATGGCACATATCACATTCATGTATATTATATTATTCTAGTACTGAGACATTATTGTGTACATCCCATTTAATGTTGCAGCTGGTAAAGGGGCAGCTAGTTTTAACTACCTTATATGCATTTAATTTGAATTACTGCTGGGTAGCTTGTGATTTTTCCACCAGAGATCAATGAGGTCTTATAATTATACAGTATTTTTGTATTAATCTGGTTATGAAAAGTAGCTAAAGTTAGAAAACGTAGTGGAGTAAACAGTAAAATATTTGCCTTTAAAATGTAGTGAAGTCGCAGTAACAAAAAAATGAAAATACTCAAGTAAAGTAAAGATGTTTCAAAATTGTACTTAAGCACAGTACTTGAGTAAATGTACTTAGTTACTTCCCACTACTGTTTAGAACAAATAAAGTGTGATTAGTTTGCAATTAATTGTGAGTTAACTATGGACGTTCATGAGAGTAATCGCAAATATTTTAATCGATTGATAGCACTAATAAATCATGTATAAGAAATAACAAAACTGTGACATTACTTCATCTTTTGCTCATCTTTTTAATGCATGATTAATATCCACATCACTGGTTGACAATTACTCACAATTAACATCTCTTTCATACCAAATAATTATAATTCAAGGGGAGATGAGCGTTATCTAATAACACAGATGTCTCTAACAATCAGCAGTTATCATCTGCATACTCTTGCTATAATGTTGTGCCCTAGAGAATGACACAGCCCACTACAATAGACCCACTCCACAGGACTGAAAAGTAGATTCTTTAGCTTGTTTTCTCTCAGTTTGTAATTATAGATATGGACATGTCATGGGGTGGAGCCAGGGGGTGGGCAGGGGCAGCACTGGCCATCCCCAGAATCTGACTGGCCTCCCCTGCCAGAGTCGAAATATGATGCTTGTCAGTATTGATGAATGAAAAATTAAAAACAATGACAAATTGTTGCCTTAAATACAATTAACATTTTCAGGTGCTTTGTAATTGATATTGGTCAAATTAGTTCTATTTTTTATCATGCATGCACCATGATATTTGCATTCATTTCTCCGACTGTGTTGTTGTGGAGCACTTGGCATAATTCACCTTAGTGGTGGAAACCACTGTGCAGCAGTAATGTCTCTGGCTGGTAGTAAATAAGGACCACAGCCAAAGTTGGTAAAAGAAATAAGTATGAGTCTCACAAGCTCTTGATAATATATGGTTCATAATTTCAGAGAACCAAGGGTTGAATTTACTTTATACATGTATTTCAAATGTGCCACCCCTCTTTGTGTCTGTGCCCCAGCCTGGCCACCCCATCCAAATTTTCTAGATCTTGGGACATACTGCTCTTATCAAATCCAAAGTTAAGTACAGAACAAGGGTACCTACTAACATGTATAAAAATGACCAAGATACAATACTTTACTTAAAAAATATAATAGGGTTCACAAAGTTTCCACTCCTTGAAAATTAAACATTTGGAATGTTGGTTAGGCTACTGGGCTACTAACTGGTATATGTTGTGTTAAAGGACACAAGCAGAGAAAGCTACTTTTCAGTGCTGTGGTGCTGACAAGCCCCTCTAGATGGGAGACAAAACTAGGGGCTCCATTTGCATATCTACCAACACTATCTTTTATTGGAAATTTTCCAGTTATATCTTTCCCAATTTATTATATTCTTTGTTACTGACAGTGAAAAGATAATTTGGTTCAAGACTTCACTTAACTCAGTCTTGTGTTGGTAGGTATGTCATTGTGTCTATATAGGAACTGTCCTAATACAGAACATTAGTTTCTACCACACGGCAGAAGTCTCAGTACTGCTAGTCTAACTGGGGAATAGCATTGGGTAGAAGGGCTGACAAGTGTGCCTCAGATGTCATATGTAGTACATTTCAAACTGGAAATCAACCAGATTCAGAGGAGATCTTTCTGTTTAAGTGATGTCTCCCAACCAGTTCTGAAGTGTGATTTAGCTCTCTGCACCACCAGGTTTTGTTACTGTGATTCTTCTGTAAGTCATAGACTTTTTGGGACCATTCCAAACACAGTCTCCCTTCCTGCCCATCATTTTGATTCTGGTAAACAGTGTTTCTATATGTGTATATATTCCAAAACAGAACAGAGTCAAACCCTCACACATGAATTTATAACGTTGCATCTTTAGTACATTTTGAAAACATTCTTGAAACTTCAGCAGCCCTTTTCTTGGTGGAAAAAAGGCGGACTGAAAAAGAAAAAGTACAGTTTTTCTTTCTTATGCTTTCAATCTTGTAATACCTTAACAGTAAGTTTTATGAACATAAAACCTCATCTGTCAACATCCACAACACCCTGTTAAGAAGTTTTTTTTCTTACTTTTGTTTTCTTTTCTGTTCTTTTTTTTTTTGGTTTTCATTTATTTGAATTACTTCTGGAATGATAAAAACATGGTAACTATATACAAGGGACAGTGTGAGATACTAGTGAAAGGATGCTGTTCAAGCGCTTTAACAGGGAAATTCAACAACTGGATTGGACATTTGAGTGACTCAAGTTGTTACTTTTTGTCCAAGCTGCAAAGATATTAAAACATTACCTTTATCTGTCACCTAACCACTATTTACTAGTTGTTACTGAATCAAAAGGCATAAGCATAGCCTTTAAACTCATCAGTTTCTGTAATCATATTAAACCTTAACTGTTCAAGATATTCAAAATGCAATTATCATTGGCAAATTTTGTTCATAAACACAACATAAATGCTTTTCATACTGAGTTTATAAATGCTGTTACCTTTTTGGCATCTGAAAAGCTTCTGTTTTGTCAGTACACTAGCATTTCTCATATGAGACACTATGGTTCTAACCAAGATATGCACAGAGCAGGACAATTTTGTATTTTGTCTTGTTATAAATGAAATATATCTTTGTCATTTAAGCACATAATTTCTCCTTACTTACTGGCCCACAGGCCAAAGTCAAGTGGCATCTAAAGTAAAGTTACAATAAATCTTTGTATACAATTGCTAGTACTGTTGTTTTGGGGTGTAATGGTGGCCTAGTGGTTTAAGATGCTGATGTTAGAGAATAACTTTTATTGTCATCTCTCATCTCATTTCCTGTCAGTTTTCCACCGTCTGTCTCTCATATACACTGTAACTGTATTAGAAGGGAAAATAAATACTATATACTTCAAAGTTTAGGGGCATTTATAGGTGTATATAAAGTGGGAATCATTGCATAACAAGTACAACGTGTTTAAATTTAATTTATCTTTAATCCCATAATTATGCTAAAATAGGCAATGCTTTAACTCAAAGTAATTTTCATGATCTTATGTCTGTTTCATCGGTCATGGGGTAAACCCCATAAGTTTAGATCGGGGTTTTAAAATAATTGACACATGGACCATCGTTCTGACTAAGAAGTAACCTGAGGACCCCTGCTTTGTGGTAGATAAACCAGATGGGCAATATTTTGATCCACTTTTCTAAATGTTATATATTTGCATAATTTTGATTATTCACAAACAATAAGTAATGCATGGAAATAGATCAAAAATCTTTAAAAAAGATTCCTTCAGTCAAACTACCCTATTGAATGCATGATCAGGGACCACATGCATTGCCTTCTTGAACCACCAGGGGGCTGCAGACCACTGGTAAAAAATCCATGGTTTAGATGCGTCTCATTAAAATAAAGTTGTTGGAAGTTCTCATTTTCACTTTTCTAGGGGAAAGCTAATTACATACATTTGCATAACATACTGTTTCCTAAAATTATTCATGGCATTTATAACATTCGACCAGAGGCAATTGTGATGTCAGTCATCTCAAAACGTCATATAAGATGAGCATTGGCCAAATTCCTCAAACCTCAGAATGAACCATGGAATGACCACAAATGGAAACTTTCCCACTTAGAAAATGTGACTTTGAAGCTTGGTCATAAAGTAAGAACCAATGAATGTTAACAGGAACAACATGAGGGCAGACTGGACAGTCGAGTGTTAAACCATCATAGCCAATAGCACAACACAGATGACCAAAGTTCCACTAAAAGCCACTAAACTGGCCAATATAAAGGGGTATTGGTGTGTCCTCAAGGATATACAGCATCAGCTCATCCCTTCACATGGTAACATACTGTCACACTGAGATTCCAGCACTCAGTCGTACAGTCTGTACACGCAGACCACTGCCTACACCTATTAAAGTGCTTTCATCCCTTCTTCAATTGCTGAAGGAAGATTCACATTATTATTTTTACATTCGATCCACACACGTTATGTGATATGTTTTGCTTTTAGGCAACTCATGGGAATGACTTGGAGGGAACAATACAATATTAAATATACCTATATGATGTCTGCATTTGCCTAGTCATTATTGTTGACTATTTGATCAATTGCTGTTTGATGATCATAACTTTATCTAACTACCAAAACTGTTTTGCTCCTAAAAGCACACTTACAGTACACGGTTGACAAAGATGTACCAATATTCAGTTTAATATCACTGCAGTGCATCAAGTAATCAAGACATTTGAAGTGCACGACTTTTGAAGGGAACTGTACATATGTTATATGATGTTGATAGTATATAGTGTGGGAGACATATAGTGTGGCCATCAAAGCTAGTTTAAATGAGAACCACATGTAATTCTACTGTAGCTTCTCTAATGGTCACTTAAGGTTTCTTAGTCAGACTTCATGAAGTCTGAGTCAGACTATCAGTGTTCCAGAGGCGAAGCAGCACTCTCTACAGGATGGATTCGGTAGTAACACTTCACGCATCTGACAACTACAGTAACACTCCACAAATACGTCACTAATCCTTCATGGTATCAGCAGACACCATCCAAGCAGAATTACAGTGATTAGACAGGACCTTCTCCTTTAAAATCCCTGCTTCTACTTGTTTTAGTGGTTTGACACATAACAATGCTTAAATCAAAATCACATCACAGTGTTGTTTAAATAGAATGCCAAAGCTGAATTTAGGTGAATACTTAAAATAATTAATAACAGACCAAAATGTTACAACTCTTCTTCACAGTAGTCCATTTAAGACATTTAACAATTGTGCAAACTGATCAAAATAACACTTCCTACAACTCTGGGCTGCTTTATCATCAACCACTGGTTTGAATTTGCTTTAAAACTGAGTGTGCTACTGCCATTTTAAATAGTTTTATCACTTAAAATGTGGATCGATATTTTACAAGGACATATTTATTCATTAGAAAGACTACATTATTTGCAGACCATTCTGGGCTGTGTCTTACGGCATTTATGACATTTTGGAGTTGGGTAGTTCCATTAGTCATTTTAACTGGCATCTCCAGCTACAGTACCTGTTACGTTCTGTAGTCATTCCCTGTCTATCCTTCTCTTTTTGTTTGTACATTATGTGTATGCACAGATAACAGGAGGCTTCCTCAGCTAAGATCACTGTATTGCTGTCAGAGAGTTGGAGTGAAACACAGGGGGAGCAACTAGACCAGCAGGTGTCAAGATGAGGTGAGCCTAGGATGAAAATGTCTGACAGTGACTATGATAGGAACAACACACTGACACAGCTCCTTGCTGTTTTAATGACATCAGCGTAGACTACCAAAACACAATAAAGGTTTGGTTTCATTCTAGAATGGAGCAATACCTTTATGAGCAGTATACCATTTTTATTTTAGGGTGCTCAATTTTGTTGGTGTATATTATACTTTTTGTATATGTACAGTATGCTGATTTCTGTGTGTGAGGGGGGACGTGTATATCAGCAAGCATGTGTGTGCTTTCCTGTATAGATCTGTGCTTTTGTGTATGTGTTGGTGTGTGAACAAAGCTAGCAGGTTTCACAGAGAGGATTCTAGGATGTACCAACCACAACTTTAAAGATGGTATGGCTTTGCAGTCTGTCTGTCTCTAATAGCCACATGTTGATTCAGGGTGACTGCTGGGGTCCCTCACAGGGGAATTCATGAGTGGGGCTGAAGGAAACATGGAAGGTTTGGTATCAAGTGATTAGAAAGCATGGGAAGCAAAGTATTGTGAAACAGGAGAACAGGGTTGGATGTGCTGTGGCGGACAAAGACATACAGAAAAAATAAGATTAAAAGTTTAGGCAGCAACAGAGTTTATGCTAAAGGTCAAGAATATAAGTGTGTGAGTTTATTTTGGAGATAAAGTATAAAGGTTTCATGTGTTACATATAGACTGTATATAAGCGGATTCACTTCTGAGAGCTGCCACATTGTCCATCTTTATATACAATCTATGGTGTTACACTGAGATTGATCTGTTGTATAATGTGTTATACTTAGTGCTTTTTTATTTGTTTAAAACCAAACTGAACAGGGATGCCGTGCTGTAACATTAACAGTAGTTTGTGGACTTGTGTTAACACCATATGACCAGAGCTGATAATGGACAAAGTAATGCTCAAAATACTGTGTTGTGGTGAAATTCATTTTCATGGTTCTTGGGGCTTGGTGGTGTAAAGAACACTCACAGGGCTAGCTTGTAAACTACTGGTACCCTAGCAGCAGAGAACATGCGAGTGCTAGTCATTTACACCAGCTGTCTGAGCTTTGTTCTGTTGTCTCTGTGCTAGGTTGTTTACTCACCCATAGAATTTTGCATGTACATGATTTCATTCATTAAAAAGTTCCTGAAAAGGGGGAAAAGGCTCAACCTTTTAACCAGCTTGGTAGTGGACAGTTGGTAAGCTGGTTAGCTTGTAGAGCTTGAGCTTTTTCCCCCTTTTCCCCACATTAGCACAATTTGAACAAAAACTCGTGGTTTGTGTTGATTCTATCAAAATAAAGTGATTTTTTAAAAAGAAAATTTCACAATTTTAAGTGCTGGTGTAACCTGGTCAGCAGCCTGTCACATGGTGGTTGACACTGTATGCAATAAGAAAAGTGCTACATACTGTATACTGTGCATCAGTGCTCATGTCACTTGACTAAAAAGGGCAGCAGCTAGCACTTTAGCTTTGTTTATACTATCTTTAATAACCACAAAGTGTTTAATACCCCCTTTTAGAATCACTGCTCCAGCTTGCTCTGTTGTCAAGTTCCTCATAAGCACTGTCAATAAATGCATCTTAATTACACAACACAGGAATTATCTGACATTCTGAAAGCTTCTATTTTGATTCTTTAGATCTGTATTAAAATATCTCCAATTATATCTACTCTACTCTGCATAAGCCCTTGCCCTCACCAATCACTACTAGCTGAGCATTTCATGATATTAATAGTCCAGAAATAAATAAGTATTTCCATAATTAATCTGACAAAGTAGGGCAGTAATACCAAGGGAACTAAGTTCAGAGCTACACGGGCATGGACTTGGAATGGAGGTGGGGCAAAAAGTAGCATTACCATAGGTCTACTAGCAAGTTTGCAGTATCAAAGTAGTTTTGAAGGCCTGTTAAAGACTAAGGTCTCAGAAATGTTGTGTCCACAGGGTATTAAGGGTTATATGTGCAAATGTTTAACTTAGACAAGAAAATCTAGCAATGCTCAATATACTCAATACAGCTTGACTATGATCATGGATTTATTGTGTTGGAGTTAGATTTGGGGTTTTCAAAATAAGTGCTTACAAGGGAATTCAAGAAGCTAGTGGAATCCCACGCAGAGAAACACAGACAAACAGCAAGTGCTCCTCTCTATCATAAACAGGGCTAAAGGTCATTCCAAGGGTGCTGAGAAGTCGGATGTAAAGGTTTATAGCAGGAAGCTGGCAGGTAGACCCCAGAGAAACACTGAGAGGCAATCTTTCAGTCTGGTGCTGCAAAGGGTGAGATTAAAAGTGGAGCTGTGATAGGTTGGTTGGTTGGTCGGTCTGTTGATTGGCAGGTTAGCGAGCATTGTGTGTGGCCCACCAAAATCTACAGGTCAGTGGTACTCAATCTGTGGAGGAGAACACACTAGATTAAGAAGGGAGAAAAAAAAAAACTAACAAAAAAAAGAAAGTGATACATTACTCAGGTGGATATTTTAAGACTTTAAATTTTACCAGTCAGATGGTCTCTAATAGGCTGTCACTGTCTGGAGCAGGTTCTTATGAATTGAGCCAAATTATGAAATGTTCATGTTTTTGATTTTATTAGCACTACAGACATCCATTAGTTAGCCTGACAATAACATCAAGTGACAGTAAAACCTGCTGTCCCTCTGAATTCAGAGAGTCTGGTGGCCAGCTACAGTGCTACAAATGGATTTATCCACTAAAACCGGCTAATCTGTTCTCTGTAGGTCTCTTCATAATTTAATTTAGTGGAAAATGTCTGCTATTTTTACCATCCCACTTCATCAGACACAAAGCAGAGAGCAGGTACTGTATACACACATGCACACAGTATCTTATTTAATTGTCAGTTGACTCTGGAGTTGACCATTCACTGATTGTCCAGTCACAGCTTATCAACTAACCATAGCAGGCCTGTCTGGTGCTGACAAATGATGGGGAAAAAATAATGTGCTGTTAGTCTAAAAGAAGCCTGACTGAAAACAACAGCCACATGACCACGTGAACAGCAGGCTCTGTGTAGGCAGATACAGTTTATGGCCACCCGCCTTTTCTTTTTGCTACTGTCTCAGGGATATCAAAGGAAACAAATGAGCTGCAGTCTAAGTGTAACCATACACAGTGCACATGCTTGTTGTCCATACTATACTTGGCTCTTATTTCCTGACCATGTTACTGACCATATTGGGGGGTGGGGGGAATCAGTAACTGAAACGTTACTGGAGGCATCTGGCCCCAGCCCCTATACAGTTCATGCTTGTCCATGAAGGATCAAGAAAAACTGTGATGTATACTGGCTGATGTTGATGTGCATTTCACTTCATGTATTTCACAGTAAATGAGTATTAACCTTCAACTACGCTCTGATGTTGCAGTCAGATTTTTATATATCACTACTGTAAATGATTTTCTGGCTAGATTTGGCACCTAGTAACAAATCTGATGACTTTATTTTGGCAGATTTTTATCTCCTTTGTCTTGAGGAGAGTTACAAATGTTTCTTAGTGAATGAGCTCTCATGTGGCTGTGGCTCTCTTGACTGTGTTTACTGACTGGGTGTCACAATCCTAGTCCTGGTCCGGTCTCCACCATGTTTTCCTGGCCTTTCTTCTTCTGAACTTTTCTATAGACTCTTAGGGGGATATATAAAGTTTTGCAGCTCATTTTTGATGCACTAAAATTGCATGTATTCATATTACCAAGGAATCTCGGTGGGGTTTTGTAGCTGAGGAAAAGAAAAAAGGAGGCAGCACTTGCACTGGTCTTAGGCAATATATATTTTAAAGCATTCCCATTCAGGGATGCAAAAATCAGGGAGGAGAGAACGGAAATGTATACAAGTTCCCTCAGCACCTGATTTACCATGGCTCCAACAGAGAAAACTGTGGCTGAAATGTAATGTCAGGAAAAAGTAGGAGTAAAATTTGCAGCCCTGCTATCAGCATGGCAGCTGTTGGTCACCTGAGTTAAGAACACATTTGAGGAGGGAGAGGGTGTTTGTAAATGGCATCACTCGCCAGAGGAGAATGTGAGGGACTTACAGGCTGTCAGGTCAAACCATTCTTCAGTTACTGAAGAAAACACAGGATGATTAAACTGGCAGAAGACTCCATGATTGCTGTTCTGAAATATGTTTGTTGGTTCTTTCAACCATATTAAAGTTCAGCAATCAGTCGACTTACACTTTCTTCTAAGCTCCCTTTTGGTCCACGGTTGCACAGTATCCTACAGGCACCGGATCCTAATTGGAAGTGTATTTGAATTACCACAGCTGCTGCTGTGCTCATTTACACTAAAGTAAACAATTTCCATGCTGCAATATATTGTGAACCTGAGGGTAATTTGCAGCAGGTATATCGCCCTTAATGTTCATCCAATCTCCAGTTTCCCCAGATTTTATAACCAACGCTGTCCTACCTCCCATTTCCTTTGTGTCTAGGCCTGACTGCCACACCCAGCAACTGTCTTCAATCCCCGATTTGCTCCCTCAGTACAAATGTTTGTCTGTTTGTTTGCTCATAGTTGGATTATCTGATGTGCTTGTCAAAGCTTTGTGCTCTCTGTAGCCTCAGTGATATTTTACCTCCATGTTTACTTGTGTTTCCCTGGTTTGGATTGTTGCTGTTTTGAATTTTTATTCTTGTGCTGTAATTGAACTTTCTGTTATAGAGTTAACTTAAAGAGCCCGTGGCATGTTTTACCTTGTTTTTTGACTTATCTACAATGTTACAACGGTGAATTATCATCTTAGACATTGCCTTGTATGTTCTAGTACTTCTATGCAGAGGCAACTCGGTTTATACAAGTCTCACAAACTCTCGCACTTAAAACTTTTTTCTTACAAAATAAAGTATTACGTGACAGTTTAAGGATTTTCTTGAATGGTTATAATTTCCAGGCTATTGCACGTTCATGTGAGCTTGCCTGACATTCACCAGTGTCATTGTAGAAGCAGAATTTTTCGACTGAACATGGTTTTGTGGATATATTTTACCTCCTCCTTCAGCACTGTGACCAGAGGATGTGGAGAAAAATACAGGGCCTGAGGTTACTGTATGTCCAAGAATGTTCCTATACAGGGACTCGCTGTTTTACCTAACGGGTCTAACCTACCAGCAGCCAGCCAGTGAAGCCCCCTGTAGCAGTGAATGATGAGCTCATCAACTCTGGATTCCCCTGGAGCACAGCACCTGTTTGTTTTGACTGCTTGAGGCCAGTGTGTCTGCTGCATGTGATGTGTTGCTGGTTAATGAACAGATTAACAATCCATGATGTTATTGTCGGGGCTAAGTTACCTGTTGGAGTTAATTTCACTACTTTGCGACTGTATGTGGTCGGGGAACATGCAGCAACCACCAGTTGGGTTTACCGACCTTAGAGCTACCTGAAAAGGAGTGATGTTTCCACCATTTCATGGGTCTTAATGGTAAGAAAACACATGTTGCATGTCTGTTAATACCTTATTTCATGCCAGATAAAATATGGGGTTTACCCACTTTGTTTACTGTAGAGTGTTACACATCTCTGGCAACACTGTCTCCTTGAAACATGTTGTGTACATGGGAGTTGTACTAAGAGTAATTTTGGTGATTTTTTATCATTATAAGATGAAAATGTTCTGTGTGAGAATGGAAACATGACATGTCAGTTGGCAACAACCACAGATGAGCCCTTCACTGCATTTAAACTGACAGCTCTTTGTCTGTGTGTGTGTGTGTCATTGTGTTTACACCCACTTGTGCCAGCAATGCCTTTGTCTATGCTAAGGGGCTCCCTCAGTCCATCTCCCCCAAAAGGAGTGGGTGTTTGCTCCTTCACTCCATTTTCCTTAGCAACACCTCCTGGTGCGGTTGCCTTAGCAACGCCTGCTGGTCCTGTTGTCGGCACGCCACTTGGAGGTGAAAATGTCTTCTCCTCTGTTTTCTCCTCCTATAGCCAAATATAGACACACAGGGGGGAGAGGACACACAGAGATGCACACAGGGAACACTGTATCTCTTACAGTGTAATAGCCTCATGCCACCACACCATCTAGTGGTGTTGGCCAGTAAAAGCACAATGAGTCAGCAGAACCAGAAAAGTCAACTGTCTGTTAAATAATATTGTTAATAAATATTGTTAATAACTGTTCAAGTTCAACCTTGTGTCCATTGGCCTGTCCATTTCCTGGTCCCACATTGTCCAGGGATCCAATCTTTGACTTAGCTTTAACGTTTAGTTTATGGGCCTCAATCTTAACATCACCACCACCTGGGATAAAAAACAGAAAAATAAAAAGAATAGAACAGGAATAGAGTCTGAGGGGAGGAAAACAGATGAGAAGAAAAGACATTTTCAGAGCTGAACCTGGCTTGTGTTTGATGTTGTCCTTGGAGCCGCATTTGGATGTCACCTTACTCACATCAACCTTCTTATTCAAGATCTGCACCTGGGGAAAAGGAAAGATCATAAGGTAGCCTCTTCATGCTTAAATTAAGTCATAAAGATGCCACTGATATAATGCATCAATACTTCAATGTCCACACTGTCCACTTTAGGAAATCAATGTCATCCATTTTCAGAGAGGAGAACATTCTGTATAAGATAATGGAATATAATAGAGAACAAATGTACCAGATCTAATGTGCTCTATTCCTTACTTTGACTTGTGCTATTCTTAGTGAAAGTGCCTTTTTATTTTATTAGAGAGGTATATTTTGCATTATTGATGCTGATAATTCTGGCCAGGCTATAATTAGAGGATTGGAGCTGGCAGTTGTGAGACCATCATCATATCATGACAGTGTGTGCTTAGGATTACAATGAGAAATCTTGAGTACTCTGACCACTACTGGCACTAATTGGTTTTAAACTTGTGGATCTGCCTGACAGTGCATGATAAGGCCAGTCAGATCTAATGAGAGAGGACTAACAGTCTGTTGACCATGACCCTCAGTGCTGTTATCATTTTATTAGCAAACAAACCACCATTTTGTCTGGTTGACTGATTGATATCAGAATTCTAGACTAGCAGATTAAAATATTGCTCTGCTCTTATAATGTAAACATAGTTGAAATCTTAAGAGATTATTTAAATATTTGTGATGGCCTTTTAGACTGTCGAAACATACCTTGACTTCAATAAATACAGATTTTGACTATTGATGCAGCTTTATAATGTGTTAATCATACAGTACTACAATCCTATGAGATTTGTGTAGTATCCTACTGCTATGCTGTTGCATTACTACTTTGTATTTGCTTACCTTATATGAAACGTGCCTTACAAAATGGTGTTACTCCTTATATAGTTTTATTTAATATTATTATGTTACTTTGCTATTGCTTCTGTTGTGCATGCATTGTTGTTTCACATTACATAAATAACAATAGATAGTGTAACAAATAGAGAGCTCTGAATGCAGGTTAGGTAGCATAAAATGGACAAGACAAAGAAAAACATCCAAATAAATTTTGGAGCCACTAAAGGGGAATGTGACTCTTTATATAGGATCATGATAAAACATATCTGCATTACAACATATTTATTTACACATATGCAAAATAAATTTGTTTTCACTTTTCAGAGGAATGACTACTCTTTTTTGACCAATACATAATTTTTTCCAAGTGTTTTTCAAGGCACAGCTAGTTGTCTGTGATATTAGAATATTGACTATTAAAACAGTTATGAAAGCTGTGAATAAGTAAAGTTGACTGGCTTTACATTATGCCACTAACCGGACATAATGAAAATGCAAAAGTGATAGACTGGGAAATCTGCATTTTGCATTTTTGTGTAATGTATTTTAGACAGCAAAGTGGTGAATATGACAATAGCCCAGGGATGAAGCATGAGAGTGCAGCAGGTGGGAGAGCAGATGGGAACAACATCTGGAAAGGTAGGCAGAAAGACCTGTGGCCAGTGCACGTTAAGTGAATTCAAACTGAAATGCAAACACTTGGAGTCATTAATGTGCTAATCAGTGTGCATTCATCTGAGTTACTTTGAAAGTGATAACCTTTCATGTGAGTGTTTGATACAGTATGTGAAGAAAAGGTTTTCTGTATATTTATAGCTGTAGTTGTATAGTTGTAGTGAGCATCTTATGGACGCTCACTACTAATAACCCTCAAATTAGATCAGCTAAATCTATATGCAGGGATTCAATCAAAATTTTAGGAACATGAGTTTAAGAACTATTGTATTGTATTGTATTATGTCTTTCTATGTAAACACATCCCAATCAGGTGTGATATAATATGCATCCAGCCTCTTTTCTCCCTTTGTGACCATTCTTCCTGTGCTTGCTAAATAGGACAAACATTTAAAAAATTAAAAATTCCCAAATGATCACAGTTTGGCGCAAGACAGGCTGAATGAGGCTACATTAGCATAAAATGTAATAGAGTATGATTCTACCCTAATCCGAGCCTGGTTCCACCTCCAGCAGTACTTACTTTGCCACCTCCAGGGACATGTTTGATATTGTCCTTGGAGCCACAGCGAGAGGTGACATGGCTGAAGTCCAACTTTTTGTGCATTATCTGAACCTAAAGGCCAACAGGCAGACACACAAACAGGAGAGAAGGAAAGAAAGGTGTGACAAGCAGACAGACATGCGCAGCAGAAAACAGCAGCTTGGTTGGCAGCTCTGTTAAAGAGGAAACAGTGGCCTTGTACAGTGGGCATGGAAAAGATTATGTCATTCAAGTCAAATTATTCCTCCTACACAACCTCTTGACACATGAATTACGTGAAAATTTAAGGAGTGGATAATAAAATAATTGTGGCTCGAACTGAGGGCGCAGCAGTGGGATAGATTCTACATGGTCACTTGTGAATGTGTTCGTATGTAAGAAGAGAGGCTAGCGCAAGTGACTAATGCAGGAAAATGGAAGACAAGATGTTGCTTTATGTTGCACCCATTTCCTAAGAAGAAATGACCAAAGCACAAAGTCATTCCATAGGTAGATTGGTTAGAATGTCTGCATCTTGTTTAAACAAAACTCAACAGTTTTTGAGACATACTGGTTAAAAATGATTTGTGTGGCCTATGTTGAACTCTTTGATGGTTTAACTCTATGAGCAGGGTAAATAATTTAGCCGCAATGGTTACATTGCAAATACACTGCTGGCAAAAAAAGCAACAACAGGGATAAACATATCATAAACTAGTCGCTGACCTTTACCTTTGACCACCAAAATCTAATCGGTTCATCCTTGAGTCCAAATGGATGTTTGTGCCAAATTAGAAGAAATTCCTTTTAGGTAATTCTTGACATATCGTAGTCACAAGAATGGGCTGTATGGACAACCCAAAAACACAGTGGCTTAAGCTGCAACTATCACCAGCGCAGAGGCATAATAAATGAATGAATTAATGAATAAGACAGACTAACAAAAGCCAAAGGTGAAAAATACTTATTCTTTATTCTGTTTTTCTGCTATTTAGTTGTCTGTGCCATGCACATGCACAAACTGAACTAGTGTCCACACACCTCATGGTCTGCAGAGTTGATGGAAATATTTTTAAAATTGTAATTACGCAAGGTTGATTTCAAGATGATGTATTGTAAATTGGAGATAATAAGGGTTATTGTTAGATTCATCGGTAATTACAGACTGTCACCTGTTAAACACAGGAGTAAGAAACAGATAGTTTCCTCTAACTACATACTGTATTTGCAAGGTTTACAGAATTAAACACACAAGATAAATCTATTTTTACCTACACAGCTGTGTACTTGTCCTCAGATGTACTTCGATGAGGATTTATCCAATGTCTCTTTGATGTTCACGTCATACAGTGACATCCATGCATGATTGATAACATAACCTATCAGCTTTTTATTTGTGACATCCAGAGTCAGTATGGCATCACCAAAACAAGCCCGTTCCTGGTCATCCTCACCTTCATCAGTGGTGGAGGTGGACACACAGACAACAGATCCACAGTAGAGCAAATTATGTACAGTGTTACACAAGGTAATACTTGTATTTGTGTGGGGATTATTTTAGGAAACAAGGATTCTGGGAATTGGTCTTGTATGTTAGAAAATACATCCAGTAGGTAAATGTCACTACAGTTGTACTTCCTAATCCACTCCCCTAGTTGCAGCTCATTCTTTTAGGAACTCAGTGTATTGCTTTAATCTTGGTTCCAATCTGTCTCTGCCTTAGTCTCTTTCTCCAAGATAGAAAAGGCGTGATGACGCAGGTGGCGCCAGCAAAGGATGACTCACAGAGCAGTAGCACGTAAGCACACACACACACACACACACACACACACACACACACACACACACACACACACAAGCACAGAGCAGAAGCCTGTAACCAGGGCTGCAGGTTTCTTCTTTCTATTTATTGTTTCTAATACCACATCAAACATCCTAATTGATTTAAATACACCTGCTGTAGCTGCAAGATTGTGGTTCATCATTTCTCCATAATTAAACTGGACTGAAACTAAGAGACGGGGATAAGAGGGGGATAACGGACTACATTTTACATAAGACTGAAAGTTTCCAACCAAAGACTACACACTACAGAGCCCCACAAGGGACATGTGGTTATCAAGAAAACCTTTCAGACCTCAGACCAATCTTATCACAGAAACACTACTTCTAAAACATTGAAGGCTCTAAATGTTCATATACAATAGACTTCAGATAATTTATCATCACTGATGAATGCACAAATAAGATCATTTTTGCCACCAATGCATTGGCTAAGTAATCTGTTGCCACACATTTTCACCTCCACATTTTGGGTGATTCATACATTGTACACATATGTGCTAAAACTGCAATAGTTATTGTGGCAATAAACTGCACTGGGTGCAGTGGACAAATCAGCAATTTACATGCAAGAATAAACAAATGAGCTCCTCTTTTCTTTGTGACATTCACATACTATATGATGTGTGTAATTTTGTATGCAAAATATTTTGGAAGAAACCATGATGTAATAGGAAAGGTTTGCAGTGGTGCAAGCAAGAGGCCACATATACAGGTACAAAAGGCATCTGAAAGGTATTCTTTAGTTGCACTAAAATCTGTGTTTTAATTGGAGCCCTCCACCTCAGTCAGGTTTACGCCATACATGGGTCATCAGTCCCTGTTGGCATGTACTTTGGAAAGTACAGATGGATATTGACATGTACTCGATGATATTTGTGAAATTAGAAAACCACTATATGAACAGTATATGAAGCTCAGTGCTTGTACATATTTAGGTGTTATGGGAATGTAAATGTAAAGGGGCAATTTATAACCCATGCTTGCATGTGCATCTCACAGACATCACTTGGAAACCAATCTATATCCGACTCTCTTCATGTGTGGTTACTGTCCCTTTAGACTAGCTCTCAGTGTGGTCACCAAATGAGGATGTAATTACTTGTAGAACTGTGGGTAAAGCAGGGAAATACAAAACACCAGTATGCTGTAATTAGTACTTGTGTCCACAGAGGTCACTGTTCAACAAAGGTTAAATGACATATCCACAAAAAGGCTTGTTTAAAATAAAACCTTTCTTGAATTGTAGTATTTTTTTATTTGGTCATGTGAAAACAGTGATATTACAAATGTTCCTTTCAGTTTGTTTTTAAGAAAATGTATAATTATAATAATGAATAAGTGTAAATTGCAGTGTGGACTGACGGTTATGGAGTATTTACATAATGTTAAAGGGAACTGCGGGTGGTGTGGGCTGTATATGCCCGCCCTGAATGCAGAGAGAAAGTGGGAGGATACAGTGGTGTGTGAGGTGCGAGGGTGTAGATGGTAGGCACTCACTCTGGCCTTGCCGGGAGGGGTGGAAGGGTCTGATGTCTTGTTGTTCGGGCTGGAGGAGACCTGGGGAGACAACCACCCCGTGGTCAATACAACCTCCAGCCAACCACACACCACAACACAATGGGGTAGAAGAGCAAGTGGAGGGGTGGGGACATGGTCTGATCAAATGGAAGAGGGCTGGATATGTGGGTTAGCTGCTGGACCAATTAAACAAATGTGTGGACTATCATAGCTAAAAAAAAAAAAAAAAAGCATACAGTATGACTGCAAAAAAAAAAAAAAATAAATAAATAAGTGCATGGATTAAAAAGAATTAAACTGAAAAAAAGCTTTATAAACAAGTCCATTAACCAAATGTGTGGGTGTATGAATCACTTTAAATAAATTATAGTAGTGACAATAATTACATGGGCCAATCATTTGGTAGGATAATAAACATATGGGTACTGCCAACCAGATAGAGTGGCGGTAAATTAGAGCAGGTGAAAGACTTAAAAACATGACAATGAGTCACAGTGGATTATGACCATTAAAATACATTTTGCCCTGTGTTAGTGACAAAAGTTGATCAAACATTAGAAGAACAGAGTGTGAGAAATCCAGGGCAAAAAAAGGTCCCCCAAGTGGGCCAATCAACATACTCTGGTAAAAGGCAATGAAAGACTATGATATGCTCAATATGTGCACAAATACAGGCACTGAATGGCACGTATAACACAGAGACTAATAAGCAACATGTGTAGTGGAAAGTAACTACATTTTACTACATCTAAATACAATGTTGAGGTACTTGTACTTGAGTATTTCCCTTTTCAGCTACTTCATATTCAACTTCACTACATTTTAGAGGCAAATATTTTACTTTTACTCCACTGGGTTTATTTGATAACTTTAATCCCTAGTTACTTGTTAAAATCAGGTTAATAAAACAAAATACAGTATAATCATAAGACTTTGATTATCCCTGATGGAAAGTTCACAAGCTAACTAGCAGGAAATGAAATTAACTTCACCAGCTGCAAGATGTACACAACAATGCATCAATAGTTACAATCCAATATTAACATATACTGAAATGTGCCATTTTGAATAATGACCACTTTTAATATACTTCACATGTGCATAAATACAGGCACTAAATAGCAGTGAAGGAAGGAGCACTTAGATTCTGTACATAAGTAAAAGTAGCAATACCACAGTGTAAAAATACTCTTTACACTGTGGATTTTATCCTAAAAATGTTACTTGAGTAAAAGTACAAGAGTCTTAGCATCAAAATATACTTAAAATCTTTAGTTTTCTGTATCTCATGGCTCCCTCTCCTTTTCCTGAGAATAATTACAAAGTGAACAACAAATAAAATGCCACCAGTCCAGTTCTTAAACCCTGAGGATGTGAAGGTCGTTAGGCTAATGCACTGCTGTTGAAAGGGAACTATTAAAACACATAACAGACAAACCAGCATCTGTGGAGACAGAATGAGTCAGTGCCACTTATTATGCAGGGCGGTGATGTGTTTGTGTATTGTTGTTTGTTGTTGATGTGTAAAGTGGCTTCACTCTGACAGATTGATAAAAAGAGTAGGAGCATGTCTTTGAAAGGGAAGGGAGTTGAGTCAACAGGAACAGAGCTGCTATTGCAATAAATTTGATGAAACTCTGCAACATTTCCCTCCTGACTATTATTTTGCTATGCCCAAGAAAATGTGAGGTTAAAACCAGTTTCCTAAAACCGTGTGGAGGGGTAACAACAGCTCCTTCTCTGCAGGGATCCAACTTTAATTGGCCATGTGATCGTGTATAAATGATCCAGTTTGAAGAAGCGAGGAATCACTGTGAATATGAAATAGAGTGTTGCTAAAAATGGAGCATGCATGCTGTTCCACTGGATAAATAGGAGGCAGACAGTGTCTGTGCTGGGTGTGACAAATATTAAATGGTTTGCCACCCTGCCTACCCAGCCAGCAACTGCTGTACAGTATGCGAGCCTACTGCAGCAGTGTGACCATGCAGAGGAGTTTGAAGAGGATGCAGCGAGAGAATACAGAAAGGTACTAATGTAAAGGAGATTACAGTGCACCAGAAATGACTAATGCAAAAGAATATGAATTAACTGTGAAAATATGCAAATACATGGACTGATATGGCCAGAAAAAAATAATGTAGTCAAAATAAAGAAAAAGGGATGCAAGGAAAACATTAAAATAGACACGTGTAGATCACGTGATTGTTAGATGCATGCACACATTTAAAAACGTTAACATTAAACAAAATAAATGTTTTTCTTGCCAAGAGTTTCTTGTCTGAATATCATACATGAAAGTGTATATTAAGTTAGTTATTCCAATTAGCTTATTGATATGTGACTCACAGGGGCTAATTTTCTACATTTACTACTATTTTGATACTTTAAATAATAATATTTGCATATATTTATGTACAGTGGTGTGAAAAAGTGTTTGCCCCCTTACTGATTTCTTATCTTTTTGCATGTTTGTCACACTGTAATGTTTCAGATTGTCAAACAAATTTATATATTAGTCAAAGATAACACAAGTAAACACATCATGCAGTTTTTAAATGAAGGTTTTTATTATTAAGGGAAAACAAAATCCAAAACTATATAGCCCTGTGTGAACAAGTGTTTGCCCCCCTGTCAAAACACTGGTTTATCGCACCTGAGTTCAATTTCTATAGCCACACCCAGGCCTGATTACTGCCACACCTGTTCGCAATCAAGAAATCACTTAAATAGGACCTGCCTGACAAAGTGAAGTAGACCAAAAGATCCTCAAAAGCTAGACAGCATGCCGAGATCCAAAGAAATTCAAAAACAAATGAGAAAGAGAATAATGAAGCTCTATCAGTCCGGAAAAGGTTATAAAGCCATTTCTAAAGCTTTGGGACTGCAGCAAACCACAGTGAGAGCCATTATCCACAAATGGCGAAAACATGGAACAGTGGAGAACCTTCCCAGGAGTGGCCGGCCAACCAAAATTACCCCAAGAGCGCAGCGACAACTCATCCAAGAGGTCACAAAAGACCCCACAACAACATCCAAAGAACTGCAGGCCTCACTTGCCTCAGTTAAGGTGAGTGTTCATGACTCCACCATAAGAAAGAGACTGGGCAAAAATGGTTTGCATGGCAGAGTTCCAAGACGAAAACCACTGCTGAGCAAAAAGAACATAAAGGCTCGTCTCAGTTTTGCCAGAAAACATCTTGATGATCCCCAAGACTTTTGGGATAATACTCTGTGGACAGACGAGACAAAAGTTGAACTTTTTGGAAGGTGTGTGTCCCATTATGTGTGGCGTAAAAGTAACACCGCATTTCAGAAAAAGAACATCATACCAACAGTAAAATATGGTGGTGGTAGTGTGATGGTCTGGGGCTGTTTTGCTGCTTCAGGCCCTGGAAGACTTGCTGTGATAAATGGAACCATGAATTCTGCTGTGTACCAAAATATCCTGAAGGAGAATGTCCGGCCATCCGTTTGTGACCTCAAGCTGAAGCGAACTTGGGTTCTGCAGCAGGACAATGATCCAAAGCACACCAGCAAGTCCACTTCTGAATGGCTGAAGAAAAACAAAATGAAGACTTTGGAGTGGCCTAGTCAAAGTCCTGACCTGAATCCAATTGAGATGCTGTGGCATGACCTTAAAAAGGCAGTTCATGCCCGAAAACCCTCCAATGTGGCTGACTTACAACAATTCTGCAAAGATGAGTGGGCCAAAATTCCTCCACAGCGCTGTAAAAGACTCATGGCAAGTTATCGAAAACGCTTGATTGCAGTTGTTGCTGCTAAGGGTGGCCCAACCAGTTATTAGGTTTAGGGGGCAAACACTTATTCACACAGGGCTTTGTAGTTTTGGATTTTGTTTTCCCTTAATAATAAAAACCTTCATTTAAAAACTGCATGATGTGTTTACTTGTGTTATCTTTGACTAATATATAAATTTGTTTGACGATCTGAAACATTACAGTGTGACAAACATGCAAAAAGATAAGAAATCAGTAAGGGGGCAAACACTTTTTCACACCACTGTAATTAACAGTTTTGAGGCAGAACTTTTACATGTAATGGAGGTTTTTTTAATTAATTTTTTTGTATTTTACTCAAAGAATCTTTCTGCATCATTGGTTCTAATAATCTGACCTTTAAGTGCAACTCGCAGATTACACATTTGTACAAAATATGGAAATGATCATTTGAAAAGTAAATGTGCAAGGTTTTGTTGAGTTATTGGCACAGATTCAGAGGAAAAAATACGTATTTTCAGCAATGCTCTTAGAAACATCACAAAAGGGATTCCTCTGCAGAAGTGAAGCGTAAAGTAATACTGTATGTCATCATGAGTCAGAGTGGTTAAGATTTAGTGATTTGGTCTTTATTTTTCAAATAGTTTTAATTTACATTTCATGGTTTTTCATTACAGAGTCTAGTTTCCCGAACAGGAAGAGAAACAGAGCTATGTCGTGTACTAGTATTTGTGTAGGCGAAGAGAAAAGATGTCACTGCTACATATGTATTGAAGAAGTGTTAGGCACAAGTGTCAGGCACTTGTTTTAAACAGGAGGATTATGTTCCTGGCCATGAATGAAGTTCATGATGGGAAGCAGAAACCAGAATTTTGTGAAATAGCTGGGGTGGTTCCTTCAGTATACATAGCTGCTGAATCAGTTCCACTGCCAGCAGCAGCTTCTCCTGCTGCCACTGTTCTCAGATCCAACTCGATAAAAATGAACTGTGCACAGTAAATCTTGTTTTCTAATGTTTAAATTTTAGCTAGGTGTACCTAATAAAGTAAGTAATTAGTAAACTGAGTATTTCTTAGATTTGAACAGTTCTTCCTGTTAGTCTAATGGCAGTGTTTAATCAGGGGATCACAGTGTTAGTGTTCCCTAAGTACTATACAAGAAAATAAAAATTAGGTTTTAAAAAATGTTCTCCATTAGAATATATAACCGACGTACATAATGAAATCTACAGCACAGAAACTGTCAGCATAGAAATCAAAATCGCGTATATTGGGTAAACGCTAAGTACTCGTACATGTG